AATTTATGTTGGCTGGTAAACAACAACTGTTCAAAACAAAACCTTTCAAATATCGACTATGCAAAGTACCATGATAGCAAAAGGTCTGTGACAAATGACACACTTAACCCATCAATCTTTTGCTTTTTAGGGGGATGTTAAGAGCTTTTATGCAACAAAAGAAAAGGTGAAGATGGGCCACATTCCTACTGCCTGCCAAGGTGAACGCTACTTAAATGACACACAAGTTCAAGAGGAACCCAATCCATCACATGGCAGCAAAACCAACACGTGCATTTTGTTTAAACAAATGACAGACTGCTGCTTTTAGCAACACCATCAGGTACCATTTGTACAAACCTGTCTGTTCAGCTGCTGTGAAGCTGAAGCTGTTCTGTCCCTAAGAAGTGCTCATTTTGAACACAGAACCATAAAACCCTTTAAAAAAATAAAGAGACTACTTCTTGACAAATCAGTGCACATATGGGGCCCACTTGTGTGTTCTTTTGTAAGGTTGCGATGCAAAATGTCCAGAAATACCTCATGCAATGATCTGACATTAGGATTTTTACACATTTTTGACATTCATAATTAAATAATTATTTTATATTTAACAACCTGTGTAAACTAAAAGCCCATCCCCCTCCCCTACTGCTTCATTCTTTAGTTCTCGCTTTCAGTTCTATTTTAATCTTGTTACGTTTTTTTATACCTCAGTAAGCTTTCTTCCAACTCTTTTTCTCTCCCTTCCATCGTTCTTTCTCTGTGTACCTGACATTTGGCTCAACAGCCTGGCTTACACAAAAAGTTATGACCTCATTTCACTGCAATGTTCCAAAGTTACAGCATGGAGAATGAGACAACACGAGGAGGAATGTCTGCGATTTAGAATAAAATAAAGACAAATGGAGGTGTGAAGATGACATAACCTGGCACAGCATTACTGGGGGGAGAGAAAAAGAAGGAAGAAGATTAGATGGGGATTAAATTAGACTAAATGAAGAACACTGAAGCAAAGAGGGAAGACAAAAAAGTGAAACAGGAAGAGGTCAAATAAATGGGAGATTCTAGTATCACAACACTGATGTGGGTGAAATGAGCCAAACTCAGTGACAAAAGCTCTTTCTCCTCCTCCTAACAGAGTGTTTCTTTCTTTTCTTAACTCTCAGAACCTTCCTGTGAGCCATTTTAGCTTGGCACAATCATAATTACATTCAGTCCAAATCACACAGAAGTGCACCCGAGCTGCAGGGTACAGCTCTAAACTCTATGTGCTGGCTCAAAGCATTAGAACAAGACATTGATACGTTCCAGGCAAACGATTTGCTCAAAGGCTCTTGCAGACACATAAGGAGGGGGGAAGCAGTTTATAATACCACACACACACACACACACACACACACACACACACACACACACACACACACACACAC